ACCTTCGTCGCCAGTGAAAAGTACTGAGAAACGTTGAGTGATTTCAGCAAAGTACTTTTATTAGGATAGAACAAGACGAAAACCCCCGGCACGCAGGCCGGTATATATACACAGAAACCCGCCACCAAAACACACCCCCTAGTCACCCTATAGGTTATGTACAGTGGCCGAGAGTCCCATTGGCTCTCGGACGCGGACCTGGCCCTCTGGTTGGTGCGGGCTAGGATCCGCTCCGCTATTGTTCTGCAGGAACGAAGCTTTTGGGCTTGTGCTTGACCGCATGGCCCAACGGTCACGCACGTGGTAATGGCGGATACATTACAGACCTCCCTTCCCTGCTTCCGGGAGTTTGATCTTCTCTCTCTTCCCCACCCACTGACCAGGTCACGCTCAATGAAAGAAGCTTTTCCTGGAGATCTCCAGGATTTCCTTCCTGAAGTTTCTCTGGTATTTAACACCTCCAAGACTCTGTTCCCTGCTTGAAGGGGGGGGGGAGCTTGACCTGTTAGCATTTGTGTGAAGTTGGGCTGAGGTAAGTCTGGAAAGCAACTGGACTGACTTCCTCCCAGCCTCTTCTCTGCCTAGAGAGGGATTTTAAAAAACAAACAAACAAACCAAAATAAAGAGTAGGATGCTTGACCACCGAAGGCTTCAAACCCCAAAAAATGAAAGTCACACTGTAGATTGTACAACTAAACTGTGTGACAAGCTGCAGAACAAGAGCCACTGTCTGAACCCCTTCCAGGTATTAATGCAGGGTTACGCCTTGCCAATGCTCCCTCTAAGGTGTGGAGTCTTGTGAGCAAAAATTCTACTTTGTGAACTACTGGCATTAAAGTTGTGAGCGAGCGATTTGGCTGCTGCATAAATTAGTTTGCTCTGGAGCCATCCTTCCTGGGCTAAGACAAAAATGTGTGAGCCGGAGGCTAAAAAACTGTGAGTTAGCTCACGCTAACTCAGCTTAGAGGGAACACTGCTCCTTGCCCCCTGGCCCACTCATGACCTCAGAGCTGCGGTGGCTCAAGTGGTTCTGAACTGCAGGCTGTGGAAGGCCAGTAGTTCAGCAGTTTGAAACCCGAGTGTGCCACATGACGGAGTGAGCTCCCGTCTCTAGTTCCAGCTCCTGCCAACCTAGCAGTTCGAAAGCAAGAAATTGCAAGTAGATAAATAGGTACCACTTCGGTGGGAAGGTTACAGCGTTCTGTGCGCCTCGGTGTTTAGTCATGCCGGTCACATGACCACGGAAACGTCTTCGGAC